AGAGCTTCTGAAGGACTTCAAGTACCGGTTTTCCACCCGCTTTCAGAAGCTCCGCTGTAATTCCATCCTCGCCTGGGGCCTTGTCGTTTTTAAGGTGCTGGAGAGCCATTCTAATCTCGCTCAGACTGACGTCCGGGATATCATCGGAATAATGTCGGATAAGACTCGCTCTTGGATCGTTACTCACACTTGCGTGCGGCTCCAACGATTACGTGTACAGCTGCCCATAGAACCTCTCAATCTCACTCAAAATCTCAGGTGCCCCGGAAACGATGCTGCCACATTCTGTCTTCAGCTTTGACAGTTGGCGCTTTCTGGCAGACAGATCTCTGGCAAAGACTTTGGAGCCTTGGTTCCGCTCGATCGCTTCTTCAATACGAGCTGTATTGAAGTTGCGTAAGTCCCGCCGCATGCATTTGGAGATCTGTCTGTTCAGTTGCCTGTATGTCTGTTCAGTTGCCTGTTGCAAATCTGTTGAAGAATGTAGCTTCATCTCCCGTCTAACAGCCATGAGATTAAGAGTGTGATCGGAGAGTTTTTGTGTTCTTCTGCGGCGGGTCTTGCAGAACTTTGCTCCGACCGCATGGACAGTTTCCACGAGCTTGTCATTCAAATCGTCCACTTCATTGCAGTCTTCTAGGCACTGAAAACGGTTTTGTAACTCGAGCTGAAAGGTTTCGGGACTTTGGATTAGAGCACGAGGGGGACGGAGCGTTGACTTCATTAGACGAGACCTCTCCAACTTAACGTTTAGGTTCAGTGTGCCTCTAACCATTCGGTGATCGCTGCCGGTTTTCACCCTCGCGATCACTGAGACATCACTGAACAGTTGTCGTCTGGTCGTCATAATGAAGTCAATCTCATTTTTTGTCGAACCGTCGGGGCTCGACCAGGTCCACTTCCTGCGGGGCCGCTTCTGGAAGAAAGAGTTCATCATAAAGAGTCCCTCTTTCTCCATGAAGTCAGCCAACTGCTGGCCCCTTGGGTTCCGTTGCCCTATTCCAAATTTCCCTACTTTCAGCTCACCGTTCTCTCTTGTGCCTAGTTTTGCATTGAAGTCTCCCATTAACACCGTATATTGGGTTTTGGAGGAATGCATGGCTCTAGAGATATCCTCATACATTTCCTCCACCTCCTGATCGGGGTGTGCCGAGGTTGGTGCGTAAACCTGTATGACCTTCAGCGAATACCGTTTGGTGATTCTGAGTATAAGGTACGCAACCCTCGTCGACACACTCTCAATCTTTACAACGTTGTTAACGAGAGACTTGTGGACGATAAATCCGACACCTCCTTGGGACAGATGGTCGCCCTCCCGGTAATAGAGCAAGTTGCCGGATTCGAGGATTACCGTGTCCTCCCCCTCTCTTCGGACTTCGGATAGTCCTATAATATGCCAGCGTAACTTGTCTATCTCTTCTTCCAGCTCTACGATCTTCTCGTCAGTCCTCAGGGTGCGTGCGTTGTATGTTGCCAGGTCGAGTCGTCGTAGGTGGCAACCGAACCTCCACCGGAGATTCTTAGCACCCCCTGCCCCGCCGTTACCATGGTCGCCACCGTAGCCAGGAATAGCGGGGCCGCCGGGGACTGGGGGCCGTTTATTATTGTCATTGCTCATGGGGGGTATATTGCCACAGTTGCCACGCTTGGCGAGCGGGTTGGCAACCGCAGTTTTTTATTGTTATTTTGGCCGCTATCAGGAAGATGCTGCTGCCCATCTCCTGCCCGTTTCCCTTTGTCGCCTTTTACGACACCCACGGGAGGATATGGGGTAGTAAAAAAATTAATAAGACATTATTATATCATAATATTTTTCATAATTATTTTATTGTGTACTATTTTTATTCGACCTCTGTTATATCTTATTAATAATAAATACTTTAGCATTGAATAAGATTGTATATTATAATTTACATGTTAAATAAAAATGTGTTGACAAATCAGGTAATTAAGATCATGTAAACACAATATAGCAAATATAGAATTGATTATATTGATCATTGTTATTGACAGCTCCGTGGCGCAGTGGCTTGGCAATGAGTTGTTGCGCTGGGAGCCGCGGGTTCGAACAAGTATTTGTATGATCTAGAAATAATTATTCCGGGTCTGGATGTTTGTCCTCGTGCAATTTATATTTGTTAACTGCCTCCACGATACAGGAGAAAATCCTAGTGTTGGGCTAGTGTGGGCTTAGAAAGAGAAAATAATAAATAAAGAGAATTTTTAACAGTGGTAGAGCCACGCGGCAGCTTTTGCTGTCGCACGGATGGGCCGGCTCGAACCGGGGTGGTACCACGACCTCACAGAAAACCAGCGTGAAGGTTTACCTCTGCGTTTCGCTTGGTGAGTGCAGGTGGCCGGAGGCCCTTATTAATGGAAATGAGGCATTCCATCTTGGTCCTCACGGGTGACAACGCATCTGCATTTTGATTTGTTATAGAGGATAGATGTAGATGTCTATGGGCCGCAGCAACCACTTACCATCAGGTGGACTGTGTGCTCGTTTGTCACCCTTATCCCATAAAAAAATAAAGGCCACCGGCAGACCGTATACGGACCGGAGTAGCCATTAGTAGTAGTAGTAGCCACCGTTTTTCCCCGATATAGAACTGTATATATTACTTATTCTGAACCTTCTCTGTAAATTTGGCCGGTTATTGCAAAATAGAACTGTATACAAAGTTCATGTAAAAATAAGAGCTCAAATGCTTCAGAAATGTCGTTGAGGAACAGGTATTTAGCGGTTCTGAATTCTGATCTTAGAAACCGAAATGTAAATGAGAACCGTTACAGAAACAGCGCGTTCACACATTACTAAAACGTTTATTTTATACGGTTTAAAATGGCGTATGTAAATATATAGGTGTATACTCACCATACGGTGAAACTTTATTTTAAATATTATATTTTATTTTATACTTTACATTCTGCTGTTTCACGCTGGTGTTCTATGAGAATGTGGTCCTTCCCTAGTCGAGCCCACTCATTCGTGCAATTAGCAATTTATAAATATAATATAACAGTGGTAGAGCCACGCGGCGGCTTTTGCTGTCTCACGGATGAGCTGGCTCGAACCGGGGTGGTACCACGACCTCACAGAATACCAGCGTGAAGTAGAGGTTTACCTCTGCGTTTCGCTTGGTGAGTGCAGGTGGCCGGAGGCCCTTTTTTACTGGAAATGAGGCATTTCATCTTAGTCCTCACGGGTGACAACACATCTGCATTTTGATTTGTTATAGAGGATAGATGTAGATGTCTATGGGCCGCAGCAACCACTTACCATCAGGTGGACTGTGTGCTCGTTTGTCACCCTTATCCTATAAAAAAAAAAACTAGCGCTCCGCCCCGGCATCGCACTGGGTACCTCCGATATTTATAGTGCAGCTATAACCGATTATAATAAAGAAATTAGGAAAGCTAAGAGAGCATCGTGGAGGAAACTATGCGAGGAAGTTGAGTTCTTACCTCGCAGTGCAAGACTACACAAATGCTATCGAAAGCTAAAAACCTAATCAGATCAGGCTTCTTAAAAAGCCTGATAGTAACTTCAGTGATAGTGAAACGGAAACACTGGAGTTACTAGCGCCAACCCATTTCCCAGGGTCACATATGACTCTAGCCTCGAACTATTTCAGAGCCTTACGAAGGCCTTGTAATGAGGACTGGTGTAGGGCTGCAAAGATAGTAAGGCTAAACCTGGTGCAGTGGGCTGTTGACTCCTTTAAACCATATAAGACAAGTGGGGAGGACGGAATAATGCACATCCAACTACAGAGGGGTATCGATATCCTTCTTCCTTATCTGGTGAAAATCCTCAGAGCAAATTTTGCATGGTGATGTATTTTAGAACGATGGCCAATTGTCAAAGTTCTATTTATACCTAAGGCTGATAGAGAGGACTACGCTTTACCAAAGTCCTTTAGACCTATAAGCCTTTCTTCCTTTCTTTTTAAGGCATTGGAAAAGGTTATAAATAGATATATTGGGGATGTAGCTCTAGCTACGAGCCCTATACACTACAACCGGAATGCTTATCGCTGAGACAAATCTATGGAAACAGCCCTGATCAGTGTTATTGACAGGGTCGAAAAACCGCTGGAGGATAAAGAAATAGCTCATTGTGCCTTTCTAGACATTGAGGGCGCCTTCGACAGTAGCCCTACATCACTGCTAGTTGGGGGCCTGACATCTATTATAGGCTTTCTGGATTTCGACCACAGCTCCACCTACCGGGTCCAATTGTGAATCTAAACCATCCCGGGATCCATTCAAACACAAACAAAAAAATTTCATAAGAAGCGGTCGCGCTTGCTGCCTTATATAAAAGAGATTTAAATATCGTTTTCGCAACACATTTCAATGAACGCTAATAAATAATAATCATCCCGCTCACCCGATGTCGTCAGTTGGGACTGAGGTGAACTTATTTGACAGTTTGTTCATAGTGTCATCATCATTGAACACATTTTTAAACTCTATTTTTAATTGTTCTAGTTTCTGGAATATCCGTAGTTAGGTTTATCCGCTTTTACTTAATTAAACTGTCTACCTAAAGAAAGCAACAGTAATCATTACAGTTTTTTAATATTCTGCCGACTTCCAAAAAGGAGACGGTACTTTAGTAAACTATTTAGTAATCTGTGACGGTACTCAATTCCACTGTATTTTTTTTTGTTTTTTTTTGTGTGTTACCTCATTACTTTTTACTGGGTGAACCGATTTCGATGATTATTTTTTTATTTGAAAGCAGATACTTCTCGTGTGGTCCCATATTAATTTGATCAAGATCAGACTAATAGTTTTTGAGTTATTCTTAATAACTTATATTGAAGTCGGCTGTACAAAATATTAAATTTTAAATTATTTAATAATTTAACTTCCCCCGGCAAGAAAGACTAATATTTCATATTATTTCCAAAGTCACGCTGCCAATTTTTCGAAAATTTGTGCTGCAAAGCTGGCAACTATAGAAGTACGTTTGGTAAAACTAAGTAACTCACCATATCAAAGAACTTCTTTTCCATGAACGGCTTAACGAGCAACAACAGTTTGTCCAGCACAGGTTCCGTGTTGAACACGTGTATCGCCTTCATGCGCACTGGCATCGCCTCCTGGACGTACTGGAAGAACTTCCGAAGCGACCTGGAGTGGAATGCGTTTCACAAAGTAAGTTACAAAAAGTTATTAATTGAAATTAGCCGATTGATTTGTTTAATGCCGATTGATGATGAGGGGATGGGCTTCGACCTTCGATACACCAGAGTCTGGTGACCAGAGATAATTTTTGAAGTGCGACTACTATGATAGGGCTACGCAAGGGCTACGAGAGGGTTTGTTTAATTTTAATGCTTTATCAATTTAATTTAGCATAAGTCAAGTTAAAAAAAAGATGTCTGATTATTCAGTTTATCAATAATAAGTTATTAGCGATCCGCCCCGGATTTGCACGGTTGATTTCTGGATCTCGACAACAACGCCACCTACCGGGTCCAATTGTGAATCTAAACCATTATATATGCATATGCCGTAAAAAAGATTAGGGGCCTTACACGTGTTGAAACAGCTATATTAGTTTATTTTAGTTACTTCCATAGCATATTGCCATATGGATTCTCGTTATGGGGTAATGCAACTGACATTGAAACTATCTTTGTTTTGCAAAAGAGAGTCATAAGAGCAATTTATAACCTAGGTCCAAAGGAATCCCTTATCTATACATATAATAAAACTGTAAATAGCAGATGTCTGTACATTTTATATTTTTGTAATAAAAGTGATTGAGGGGTACTAAAAATAAGTAATTAAATACATTTCTACCATTTTTAGAATTTTCTGTCTGTCTGTCTGTCTGTCTGTCTGTCTGTTTGTTTGTTAACGTATCACGTTTAAAGTACTAATTTATATCATAAGAATCGTTAAGGAAATTCTAAAGTGTACCTTCGGGTTACATTTAGTCTTTATTTCATTAAAATCGGTTCATTCCATCAAAAGTTATGATAAATATTCTGAAGTATGGCTACAAAGTATAGGTACGAATTTGTTCAATGGTGGCGTTTGTTGAGTCATCAAGTACATTTTAAACTAATATCATATTATAAATCATAACATAATTAAATGATGTAAAATAATGTTCTACAATGATGAAATTATATCTAAAACGCAGTAAACAAAAGTATTGCATAAAGAACGTAATAAATATATTAAAAAATATATTAACCTTATTATGTAAATCTAAAGTACAATAGTTAACCCATTTCATCGATAGATGGTGGTGTTGCACAAATGTCATGCAAGAAGGCAGGTTGTGGTTTTTTTTCTGTAAATGACTTTTCATATTTGCTGTTAATCTTTAAATTACTCGCTGCCCTACTGTGTATTGACAATATCATTTATTCTTTACCGCCGAGTACTCTACATGGTAAATCAAATTTTAAAAGAGCTATTAACAGTTTCGTTGGTTTCGGCGAGGATCAAACTTTCTTTCTTACTTACGATGTAGGCCTGATTTATAAGTTCTTTTAAGTTTTTTTATTGTATCAATCGCGTCAATTAATCTCTTTTATTTTTAGAATTGATTTTAACAGCGCCATCTATCCTTATATCTCTATACATGCGGTAATCACATGCTGTGTCTGATTCTGTACATTGTATAGTATATTAATTTGTGACTAAAATCATTATGGAGACTGAAACTCATTAAATAAGTACATTTTTATAATTTTTAGAATTGTCTGTCTGTCTGTTTGTTTATGAACGCATCACGTCTCACGTAAACATCTTTTTTTCAAAGAAATTGTTTAGAAAATCATAAAGCGTATCATCCAGTTCAAAGATTAACTTTGTTTTATTAAAATTGGTTAATTCTATCGAAAGTTTTGATTATTATTTTGAAATGTAGGTTCGATTTGTTTAAAGGCGCCATAAAACCTCAGAAATAGTAATAAAATGATTCCTTTTTATAAAAAAACGTTTTATTATAATATATTTATACTTTAAACACAGTAAACAAAAAATATGTTTTCCTTAATTTAAAAAAGGATGTCTTCCACGAAGAACGTAATAGATGGCGTTGTACGTTTACGAGTCCATTCAAGCTGAAAGAGCCGTGTAATGTGTAAGCTAACAGCACAAACATCATCAAAAACAGATATCAGAAAAAAGATACGTACGCCCAAGCTAAACGTAGCAAAATTGCATCAAAAACAATATGTCATGATGTTGTTTTATACCAAGAATCCACCTTATATCAAATAACTTTCCTTTCAGTTCTAAGCGTGTTCTGTTCCCACTTCCCATTCCCAGTCAGCGTGTGTTATGCGATGACCGATGACCGTAAATAAAGCGCAAGGTCAAACTTTACGCGTTGCAGGAGTAGACCTCAGTACCTGTGTACTCAGTACCTCAAAACCTGACTGTTTTGCACATGGCCAACTCTATGTTGCTTTTTCCCGCGTTAGTAGCTCCCGTAACATTTTTCTGTACGTCCCGGCTAAGTCTACTTCTAACGTCGTTTACACAGAAGTTCTATCACAAACGACTCAGAACTTTGAGCATAACGATTTATTTTGGTGCCACTTATTCATACAGTAATGATATAAATCTTTTAATATTCTCTTACCTAAACGTCAAATTCTTTAAGTAAAACCTATATACGCGAGCTACGCCGCGGGCACAGCTAGTATATATATATATATATATATATATATATATATTGGCCTCTCAATATATATATGAGAATTTAATGTATGTACACAAAAACAAAAATAGTTTCATTAAACATAGTGATGTACATTCTGTAGATACTAGGAACAAGCACAAGTTAGTTATACCAGTTACTCGACCCCAAAAAGTCAGTAATTCCTTCATGGGGCAATGTATACGCTTTTACAACAAAGTCCCAGAAAATATGCAGACCTTTTCTATCAAAAGGTCTAAATTATTTATTAAGCAAAAATTGTCTAGCAAGGGTTATTATACTAAAGAGTACATGACTGATAATAACGCTTGGCAATGAGGTGATCGCTACCATGCTGTTTCTAAATAATGTTTTCATATATAACAATTGTATAAAATATTATATTGTAATTTGTTGTTTTTTTTTTTATAGGAGAATGCAAACGAGCATGCAGCTCACCTGATGGTAAGTGACTACCGCCGCCCATGAACAACTGCAACACCAGGGAGGGAATTGCAGATGCGTTGCCGGCCTTTTAAAAAAGGAGTACGCTCTTTTCTTGAAGGTCCCTAAGTCGTATTGGTCCGGAAAAATCGCTGATGGTAATCGATTCCACAATTTGTTGCTTTTAAATAAAAAGTCTCGCTGGGTTTCTTGCTGACTATCAATAAGTATTATGTATTGTAATCTATACTGAATAAAAATGATTCTATTCTATTCTCTAATCAACTTAATCACACACACAAAGTTTCATCAAAATCGGTCCAGCCGTTTAGGAGGAGTTCAGTCACATACACACAAATAGAAGTATTACATAATATAATATAATATGTATGTATTACACATATAAACCTTTCTCTTGAATCATTCTGTCTAATGATGAAAACCGTATCAAAATCCGTTGTGTAGTTTTAAAGATTTAAGCGTACAGACAGCGGGAAGCGACTTTGTTCTATAATAATATGTAGAGATCTATTGAAATTAGCCAGGGATTTTTTTAAATGTAGGGGAAAACCTTTTTTTGAAGTGCCACAACACATTGATAGAGCCGAAACGAAGCATACCATCTTAGTTATCGGGGATGAAAGCAATAAAGGTCATAGCATCCACTTACTATCAGGAGGACTGTGTTGTGTCCTCGTTTGTCATCCATCACTATCACACTACCCTAAACCACACAAAGCCAATAATTGACATAGGCCTCCCCCATATATTGCCACTAAATACGGTCCTGAGCCACCTGCATTCATCGAATACCTGTGTTTCATCAGGGCATCACCCAACGGTCGCACAATACTGTGCTTTCCAGTACGGGGCTGCCTTTTGAGAACCATTCTTCCCTATCGGTCGTCGGACTACATGACCGGTCAATTGTCACTATAGCTTACTTATACGCTGGGTTATGTCAGGTATTCGTTTCCGTCAGTTTTAATGAAGTCTTTTTTTTTATTAAATAGGTTATACTTCAAGGGAGGTCTCATATAAATTTGGAAAAAACACCGCTAAGGATAGCAATTAAATAACTTCTTTTTTAGCAATTTGAAGTCGGTTTTTACTTTTTGTTATAAATTATAATTATATTCAATTTAGATTACAATAATACTTTTTGAAAGTCCTTTAATCTTTATCACGGATTCGAAAAAAACCTCTGTTCTGGGATAAACCAGCAAGAAACGCAGCGGGACTTTGAAAAAAAATAATACAATAAGTAACATATTTTATACAATTAAATATGAAAACGTTTAAAAATAGCATGGTAGCGATCATCTCATTACCAGTGGTTATTATAAGTCATATTATATAGTACTCATTTGTAGTTTAATAAAAAAATTATACTTTTTGATAGATAAGTCCTGCATACTAAGGCCATGTATTCATTAGGCAAAAATTGACGCGCAATACGTGACACGCTCATGTTTGGCACAACGCGCGCGGGAAAATGCCAGATGACGTCAGAAAGTCATCTATTAGGTAGACAACGTTGCTAAAGAAAACTTCCACGACGTTCTATGTGAGCATCCAAGATTTTTTCTGCCACCAGGGCGGCGCCACTTAGCAATGAGGTTGAAATATTTAATAGATTTCATGGCGGGGAAATAAAGTTAGGGAAATGTAAGAGTAAATGTTTCTTTCTGAAAAATTAGATATTTTGTTTTATATTCATTAGATTAGACATAGATAATCCAAACTACGGATATTTTTAAAAGTAAAAAATTAAAAGAGAGCAAACAACTGAGGCGTTGTTTTGTGTATTTACATACTCTAGAAACCTATAAGTTTTTTATTTAAAACGCAACTTCTCATATGTAATGACATTTTGTAATAAATAGCTCCACCACAGTCCCAAGTAGCGACATCTGGTGAGCGGAAAATTATTAGGCCTCATTGTTGCTTAATGAATACATAATTGCCTTAATTGTACAAAAATGTTATTACATCGGACCAAATTACATTCTAAATTATGATA